TGTCGAAGAAAACGAACCACTGTCTTTCAGTGTATTAAAAGAAAGAAGAAGAAGCAAACATCAGAAAGGAAGAAATGACTGCTTCTCTTTGGAGTTCGAAGTAAACAAATGGTGGTCTATTTTTACGCTTCATCTTTTGTGGCTTGTCAGTGTGTTCTCAGCTTCGATCAGCTTTTCACCGTCTACGACAAGAACGACTTTTCGACTTTGACTTGTGTTTTTGTTTCTTTCTCTCCTTCGATTCAATGATCCTCCAGCGCCTGATTGACGGCCAACGAATATGCGAACGAGAAGAAGGAAAGAGGGGAAGTATCAAATGCAAATCATCGAGCCGACCGAATCGACACACTCAATCGACCGAGATATATCAGCGTGATTTAGCGGTTCCTTCAGCAGCACAAGCAAAGCAGTCGTTTTTTCCCAATTTTTTCCCAATTCGTCATTTGTGAAGTGTATCAATCGAGTTCAGGGGGAAAAGCGAAACTTCTGCCTTGTCTCGAATGACTGCTGCTGGTGGTGGCGGTGCTAGTGGAAGAAGAAAGACAATGCACTACCACTCTTGAATCCTTCCTGGGCGCCAGTCAGTCAAAAAATAAGAGGAAGGAAAGAAAGAAGAAGGGAGCTGCAGCTCAGCCACAAAAACAACTGCAGCAACTTGTGCACTCGCTCTGACTGGGCGCTATATTTGGATGCTGATGCTGATGCTGCTGCACAAGGCCCGAATAATCAGCTCCACTTTGTGCTCGATTTCCCTTCTTGGCCACAATGGCAATGACACTTGAGAAGAGGGAGAGGGCATTTTCAGTTCGCAAGGAGCAACAAAAGTGCCAGCAGTGGAAGCAGAGATCAACAAGAGATCAGACAGAGCAGAGCAGAACAGGGCATCATCATCATCACCACAAGCTGCCTCATTTGTTCTGGTCTATTTTCTTCCAAGAAATCAGCCTGCCCAGAATGGGTAAAGAAGAAGAAGTAGTAGTAGTAAAAAAGAACTTCTTCACCGAAAATCAGCTCGTATATATAGCTCTGTTCTTTAGCCTCTGCCATTGTCTGCGGTTGTGGTTGTGGAAAAATGGCGCAGGCTATAGTGAAAGAGAGGAAGGAAACAATGAGGCGTAAGGCGTACTTTTTTGTACTTTGCATCTGCCTCCACACCAGCAGCATTAGTAGAGCACAGCTGTAGTAGACTACAATAGACGTCTATTGTAGTGAGAGGGAGAGAGAGAGAGCAAAAGAGACGGAAAGGCATTGTCTGTGACGCCAAGTTGCTACTATATATACCAAGTGTTGCTGTTACTTCAAGCCTACTCTGGCGCTGGTTGGCAAAAAACAGGCAACAAACTCGTTTCCACTAGTTCTTTTCAGGCGGCAGAAAAGAAGAAGAGAAGAATAGAAATGCAGCGAGAAAGAGAATGATTGAAGAAAACAATAGGCAGAAGAAGATGGGCGCGAGCGTGTCTGGCAGCCAATCGGCTGCAAAAGAGAGAGGAAAACTCTACGGAAAAAGAAGAAAACTTACCGATTGCTGCTGCTGTTGCTGTTGCTGAGAGTGCAAGTTCTGGCGGAACATCTGCAGCTGGTCAATGAGAGAAGTGAGCTGCTGTTCGGTCTCCTCGATGTTTCGACCTCCGGCACCTCCGCCCCCGGAAACGGCTGCCAGCTGGCTGAGAGCGGCCAGGTCAAAGGGAAAACCAGCACCAGCACCAGGACCAGCACCTTGTGAAGCCCCAAACTGAGCATCCATCTTGCTTCCGACCGCCTTTTGTGAGTGTCCATTGCTGAGCTGCGCCATCAGCGCCTGCTTCTCCAGCAGGGCGCCAATCTGCGCCTCGTGGCCTTTCAGCAGCAACTGCTCGGTCTTTACGTCAAAGTCAAAGTTTGCTGCTTGTTGCTGCTGCTGCCTTCGACTGTTTTGATGATTGCTGCTGCTGTTGTTGTTGGCCTTGTTCAGGCGCTTCAAAACGTCGTCCATTGTGGTGGAGCGTTTGCTGCTGCGATCGGTGGCTAATTTGATGGCGTTCTGATGGTGGTGGGCGTGATCGCGATGAGAGTGATCACGGTTTCGAGAATGCGAGTTACCGTTGCCCACCTTGCCACTGCGCTGTTGTGGACCACTGTTAGAGGTGGTGTTCGAAATGCTGGTAAGGAGATCCGAGTGATGTGAGCCGCTGCTGCTGTTGAGTGTGCTGAGATCGTCATCGTGGTGGCCATTGCTGTTGATGGAGACACCTCCTTTCTGCTGGTGGGCACGCCGACTGGAAGGCGGCTTTTCAGAGGGAGAGCCTCGATTTCGGCGACCGTTGTTGCCTGTTTTGGACTGCTGCTCAATCGGAGGACTGTTCAGCTTCAGAGACAGATCTTCATCGTCATCTCCGGCTTCTAATTCTTCTTCCTGCTCCTCATCACCCTCACTCGGTGAGAGCTGGTCTCTGATGACGGTGGTCAGTTCAGCGGCCAGACGGCGTTGATGCTGATGATCACTGTCATCATTGTGAATGTTCTCCTCTTCGTCATCTCTATCTTCTTCTAAGTCCTCTTCCTCCTCTTCCTCATCATCGTCACTGCGGAATCGCTTTCGACGTGACCACGATCCCGAGGCGGAGGAGTGAGCCAGCGCAGCGTCCGCAGCACTGCTGCTTGTCGAGTGATGACTGTTTGCCGGACTAAACTGCTGCTGTTGCAGCTGTGATTGCTGCTGATGCTGTTGCTGTAGAATCAGTGAATTCGGGTGCTCGCTGTCTGAGGCGTCAGAGAGGTCAGCAGGAGAGCCAGCTCCGCCGAAAACGGCTGCTGCAGCAGCATTGGCAGCGAGAGCCATTCTGCTGGAAACGAGTGCTCCGCTTCGAGCGTCGGCCAGAAGATGCGGCGGCGGCTGCTGCTGTTGAATGTTGTTCATGCCAAAGATCATATCAGGAGTGAACGGGGGTAGGTGTAGTGTGTGGTGGTAGGTGATTGCTGTACAGTTGCAATTTGCTGCAGTTGATTCGTGTCAGAGTTTGGCTCGGTTGAGCTCTGTAGACTGACTGACCGACTGACGTCAAGTGAGGTCAAGTGGTCACGGAGAAGGAGAGCGAGAGAGATCAACTGAGGGCAGAGGACCTCGCGACGGTCGGTAGCTTGTGCTGACTACAATCGCTGCTCATAGGTGCACAGACCAAAGAGAAAGAGAGAGAGAGAGGTCAAAGTTCAGCTGTCTCCCAGTCTGCAGTCAGTGACACATTCGGTGGCAGACAGACGACAGCAGTTGGTGGTAGTAGTGGCGGTGTAGACAACAGTTTCGGCAAGTACCTGTAGTGAAAGCAGAAGAAGAAGGGTCGGTAATTAGTGTGGAGGGACAAAGACAATGAACGAAGAGACAATACGAGCTCTCCAGCTCTGCAGAGTATGTCAACGTGTCAGTGAGGGTAAACAGCTGAGGAGGAGGAGGAGGAGGAGGCTGACAATGTTCGAAACAATGAGTGTTCCTTCGATAAGTACTAGCGTCTGTGTGTGCTTGCCTTTTGCGGTAAGAGTTTGTCTGGCGTCTGAGCATTCGGTGCTCTGACACTGTCAATTGCCAATTACTGTCAGGCGGTTCTCTTTCTCTCTGTGGACTCTGTAATGTGTGTCGCATGTGCAAGTGCATTTGGTCTCGTGAGCTCGGTTACTGCTGCTACTACTTAAACTGACGTACGATCACTCTTTCCTTTGTGAGCTTTCTTTTTCTCGCACAGTCTGGCAATCACCCGAATTTGCATCAATAGTACTTGGTATTGCTGCTCTGCTCTGGTAAGCGTCAGCACCCGACTTCTACTGCCAATTTGCTTTTGTTTTTTGCAACCAAACAAGAAATCGAGCTTATGAGCTTTCTGGTGGTGCTTTCTGCTGATTCCATAAATAATTCTTTACAAGAGGAGGNCGTCAGCACCCGACTTCTACTGCCAATTTGCTTTTGTTTTTTGCAACCAAACAAGAAATCGAGCTTATGAGCTTTCTGGTGGTGCTTTCTGCTGATTCCATAAATAATTCTTTACAAGAGGAGAGAAAATAATGCAAATGTGAGTGAAGTGCAGAGCACTTTTCTGGGGAAAACCGAATCTTCTGGTGAAGAGGGAGTCAAAGATGGCAGCAGACACCAGAAGCTACAACAATAGAAAGCAAGTAAAGCAAAACAAAGCAAATCCACAACCAAAAAGCAAAAAAGCAAAAGCAATTGCGCAGAGTGTGCAATTAGGAGGCCAATTACAAGAAGAAGAAGAAGGGAGATCAAGAAGGCGTCAGATTAATGGCACTGATAAGGCGATTAACAAACTGCTGCTGCTGCTGCTGCCAAGCGAACCAGCCTGGTGGTCTTCGGCTGCACAAAAGCTAAAAACGACAACAACAGTGCATTGGGTGCAAGGAGAAGACATCGTCAACAAAAGTGACATCAACAGGGAAGAAAGAAAAGACAACAGCAGTGTTTGGCTAACAAAAAAGAGATGAAGATGAAGATGAAGATGAAAACGGAGAGCGGAGACATGCGCCAGTCAGTCAGTCAGTGAGACATCAGACCACACAGACATCGTCTCTTCTTCTTTGACTACCATTGCAAACCACTGCACACAACAACAGCATTGCAATGCCCACTGAACAATGTCCACAAGCTAATTAATTAAGTGAATGAGCAGAGACATGTGCAGGCACTAAGTAATTATTATCAGCTCGCCGTGGTCGTACAATGGCAACTCGCAACTTCTGATGAGCCTGCATCTCTGCTGTTGTTGTTGTGTCTCTGTTCAAATCGATGAGCACTTGATGATGGTCAGTGCCGAGGCAGCAGCAGCAACAACAGCATCGACAACTAATCCCAATGCGAATTCAAATGCAAAGTCTGGCCATTTGAAGGCATTTAGCGAGCAATAGCTAGTGTAATTTATGATGTCGTGATGGTGCTGTTGCTGCCAAGAGGTAGAAGTGATGGAAATGAAGAAAAAGAAAAAGAGGAAGAAGAAGAAACGTGTCAGTAGTAGTACTACACTCTATGCCAGCAATTGGTCAGGTGAACAAAACGACCACAATCAACTGGCGGCGTCCAGCGTCGCCAACATCTCCACCGTCAACCACGACCGGCGAAATCAATTTCCCTTCTTGCCCCTCTTCTTTCAGTTCTTTCGCTGTCTCTGTTTCTCTTTATTATTTCCAGTAAAGGCTGCTGCTGCTGCCTGCCTGCTTAAGAAGTTAACTAAGAAGGAAGAGAAGGCTAATCAATTAAGCAACCAAAGTTTGAGCCTGCCTGCTTGAGTTGTCTACTGCTCAATTACTACCACTCTTTGCTGATTATCCTTTTAATTCTCAACAAAAAAATAACCAACCAAGTGCACACATTAAATGTGTGGTGGTGGTGCCGTACGGTGAGTACAAACCATGAGCAACAACAACAATGGACAGAAGAACGATACCAAGAGGTTTAGTGAATGCACTTATAGACCACAATGTTGCAAGTGCTGGCAGTGCTCAAAAACTGATAATTAGTGGTAAAACAAAGAGCAAAGACTGTGTGCGCGTTGGTGAATGCCTGAATGTAGCTAACTACAGTGAAAAATGATGAGACTGCCGATTATCGACTGACAATTAGCAATGAAAGGACTGGGGAGGACACCAAAAAGAAAGAGAGAGAAAGGTTTGATGATAATGCGATTTGTGGGCAATGTGAGCACAGTGTGTGGTGGAGAGAATACAATCGATTGCCACTAATGCCGCCGTTGCGCATCACTTAATTGCTGGGGATGGTCACATCTGTGCGGTATATCTGCATTATAATTGCACACACACACTTACAGCTAAACACAGGCACCAACGGTAGAGTGAAACTCACAGAAGAGTTGAGCAGTGTTGAGCAGTATCAACACTGTTTGCACAGGGGCACTTGCACTAGGCAAGCAAATGATAGAGAATACGACAAAGTATCTCGGTAGCTTGCCTGCTTGTCTTCCCAAGCACTGCGAAGCAATTAGCAAATTAGAACAGAAAATCGAAGCTCGTAAATTGTAGCAAGAAAGAGAGCTCATAATAATAATTCACCTCTCTCTCTTTGGCAATTTGCTCAGCAGCGGCATCAGCAGCAGTTGTGATCAGTAGTGCTGCTGGCTAGTAGTAAATGGCATTGCTGAGAAGAAGGTTGTAGAGAAGAGGGCACCACCGAGCACAACACACACACAAATGTGTGCTGGTATTTTCATTCCATAAATAACCACACAAGTCGCATAATAATAATTTGCGACTTTATATGTAAGATTCAGTGGCTCTCACTCCCTCTCCTCTGACAAAGTGTCTTTGCCCCTAACTGCGTGTGAGTGCACAGCAGTCTGCTCGCGCAATCAGTGCAATCAACAGAGATTTAAAGTATGTCGAAACGCACAAGACAGGGAAGACAATTCCAATCATAATGTGGCTATCCATTGAAATTGAAAACTTGTGTAAGCTGCAAGCTAACACAGATGCCAATAGAGATGTAGGGTAGAAAAGAAAAAAACAGAAACAATCACGAACAGACGATGGTATGCGCAATGTCGATAGCCAGTGACCGCAGAAAGCACAAGAAANCCTAACTGCGTGTGAGTGCACAGCAGTCTGCTCGCGCAATCAGTGCAATCGACAGAGATTTGAAGTCTGTCGAAACGCACAAGACAGGGAAGACAATTCCAATCATAATGTGGCTATCCATTGAAATTGAAAACTTGTGTAAGCTGCTGCAAGCTAACACAGATGCCAATAGAGATGTAGGGTAGAAAAGAAAAAAAGCAGAAACAATCACGAACAGACGATGGTATGCGCAATGTCGATAGCCAGTGACCGCAGAAAGCACAAGAAAAAGAAGAGAATGTCGTGGTGCCATAAATATCACCCCGATTATGGACTTGATTTGCAGCAAAGAACAAACAACAGACGCAACAAAGCAGCAAGAAGTATGACTTTTTTCTTTCTTTTTTTGCTAAAGTGCAATTTATCGTATTTGTAATGTGCCCTCTCTTTCGTTCTTTTTTTGCTTTGCAGTAATCTAGTATAAGCTAATGGCCAAAACGATAAATTAGTAAAAGAAAAGATAAAGTAAGGAAGAAAAAAAATAATTAGAATAATGACCACTTAGTTTGGTAAGAAAAAGAGAGGAAAAAGGACAATCGAAATTGATTTGCAATTTGGGGTAGGTGGCATGGAAAGCAAGCATAGGCAAATGCATGATAAAAGATGCGGCACAGGAATGCCCTGCTCAGCAAGTGTCAGCTGTGACTAGCTAGTGCCGGTGGTGCTCTGTGGATTAGGCCAACAAGTGTGGCAAATGTGGTGATCATGGTGATCACTGCACTTGTCAGAGGGTACCTGCTGTGGCTAATCACAGCTGCAACCTCGGCGGCGGCGGCGGCAGTAGAAGTAGAAGTAGTAGATAAATTAGCTGAAACTGAGCAGGCAAGACAAATTAAAGTGCTGTTCAATCAGTGAGTGAGTGAGTGTGTGAACTGAACGACAAATGGCTGCTCTATCCGTCTGCCGCTGTTGATTCTCACATTGGAATTGGCACCGTTGCTACGGCCAAATTGACATTAATACCACCGATGACCAGTGTAGGCTTAGTACCGTGGGGCCGATTATTATCTATTGCGCCGATTAGAATAATTTATTGACCATGCAGCAAAACTTTAAAAGTAGAGGAAGCACTGCACAATTGTGTCCTATTGTGCAGCAACAGCGGCAAAGGCAACGGCGGCAGAAGCATTTGTAATCTCCAATTGTAATTACGATTTGCATTTAAAGTGCTGTGCATAGGCAAGTAGTGCTGGTGCTGAGTGATATCTCAACTAT